ATTAGATGGTGTGTTTGGGGTGCCCCATTGCAAAAACCTTGAGGATCCATGAGGATCCGTGCTCCAGAACCATGTTTTTGCAGAATGGTGTTGCCATGAAGCTGTGGATCCGTGATTTTTGGGTTCGAGCTGTTGCCATAGACATGTTATGTGATTAGATGGTGTGTTTGGGGTGACTCAATGCAAACCCCCCAAGGATCCATGAGGATCCGTGCTTCAGAATCATGTTGACACTTCATAGTGTTGCAACGAAACCGTGGACATGTGATTTCTGTGGTGCATTCTGTGGCCATGGACATGATATGTTATTAGATGGTGTGTTTGGGGTGCCCCATTGCAAAACCCCCGAGGATCCATGAGGATCCGTGCTTCAGAACCATGTTTTGGCTGCATGGTTTTGCCACGAAGCTGTGGATCCATGATTTCTGTGATTCAAGCTGTTCCTGTGGACATGATATGTGATTTGATGTTGTGTTTGGGGTGACCAATTGCAAAAAAAATGAGGATCCATGAGGAGCCGTGCTCCAGAACCATGTTTTGCGGAATGGTGTTGCCACGAAGCTGTGGATCCGTGATTTTTGCAGTTCTAGCAGTTGGCATGGACATGGTGTCGCCACTAAGCCATGAAGACATGATTTCTGTGGTGCATTCTGTGGCCATGGACAAGATTTGTGATTTGATGGTGATGTTTTGGTGACCCAATGCAAAAATCATAAGGATACCTGAGGATCCGTGCTTTGGAACCATGTTTTTGCAGCATGATGTTGCCACGGGCCCGTGGCACTGTGATTTCTGTGGTGCAGTCTGTGGCCATAGGCATGATATGGGATTTAATTGTATATTTGGGGTGTTCCGATACAAAAAACCCAAGCATCCATGAGGAGCCGTGCTTCAGAATGATGTTTTTGCAGAATGCTGTCACCACGAAGCCGTGGATCTGTGATTTTTATGGTGCAAGCTGTGGACGTGGATGTGTTATGTGATTTGATGGTGTGTTTGGGGTGACCCAGCTGAAAACCCGAGGATCCATGAGGATCCATGCTCCAGAACCATGTTTTTGCAGTTTTGTGGTGCCACAAATTCGTGGGGGCATGATTTTTGTAGGGCTTCCTATAGTCGAAGACATGGTCTACATTATGATGTTGGTTTTATTTCATTCCAGCATAGAAATCATATGAATTCATGAGGATCCGTCCTTTGGAATCATGTTTTTGCACTGTTGTGGTGCCACAAATCTGTGGGAGTGTGATTTTTGTGGTGCCCCCTATATAACACATGGCCTACAATATGATGGTGGTTTTATTTCGTTTCAATGTAAAAATCATATGAATTCATGAGGATTCATGTAGATCCGACTTTTACCCTTTCCCCACTAATAGCACTCATGTAGCAGCTGAGGATGTAGTTTAAACAAGATAGCAGGCATGCTTTCCCCCCTACAACAGGGGTCCCCAACCTTCTGGCACATGGGGGCCACATTAGAGTGCCCAATGCCTAAAGAGGGTAACATTTTAAATCAAAATGTACCAAAATTACCTACCTACAACCAGTGTTCCCTCTATACTGAGTTAGTGTGAGCTAGCTCAGTTTTTTAGCTTCCAGCTCACATTTTTGCCTTAGCTCAGGAAGGGATGGCTCCAGAGCAAGCTAATTTATGCAGTAGCCAAGTCACTTGCTCACAGCTTTAATGCCGGTAACTCACAAAGTAGAATTTCTGCTCACAAGACGCCACAGCTTAGAGGGAACATTGCAACCATCACATTCGAATTAGCCTGTAGCCTGGCTTACATATGCAAAATAACATAAAGGACTCTGTAATATTTCAAACAGGAGGCAGACACCATTTCCGAATGCTCCCCTTGTGTTCTGTTTATTTGGAGGGGTTTTTTTTATATCCCTGGAAGTAGAAAACTAGTACGTCTGGGCGAAAAATACCATAAGAGTCTTCTTGCTGCTCAGATAGTTTATTGCTTACATAGAGGTGTTTTGTTATTCCTCATTTACGGTTATGCAGTCTATTCTGCAACTTAGCAGAACCAGTATTACCTCGATCTCCAAACAGCCTTACTCCCTTTCAGTCAACTGCTCTGAAGAACCAAACCTCCGCACAAACTGCAGCAACAGCCCAGGAATGCGAGGGATTTCACAAAAACAAAAACCCTGTAATTTCGCAGAGACCACACGATTGGTTCCTTCCCTGACACCCGCCCTCCTCACGGCCAAGAGGACGCAGGCCGCACCGCAAAGCCCGCCTTCCTCCCTGCTACGATTGGCTAGAATTGCCACTAAACCTCTGCTCCAACTTGAAACTGTGAGGTCATCGCGAAGGAGCCAATCGACGGGGATTAGGGAGGGAAACGACGTGCTTGCATTGGAAAACAGTGATGTCAAACCTCCGAGTTAGGGAGGGGCTATATCCTGCTTGCCGCTGACTTGCTCTGCTAGCAGCAGCGGCTTCTTGTTACTTGTCCAAATGCAACATCGCCGTGGTCGCTGCGAGTGGTGGCTGGGGAAGAGCTCGGAACTGGCTCCCGCAGGAAGAGCAGCCAGGAAGCCGGGGGCTGAAGGTGGCAACTGCTGAGCACAGGTCTGTTCTTCTAGCTGCTCTTGTGGAGCCCGAGAAGGATGGATGTCGCCAGCCAAAGGATAGACACTGCTGGCTTCCAAGGGGGTCTTTAGAGGGGATATGCCTGCGTAGGAGGGCAAGGCTGGCGGGGGGGGCCGGGTTCCGCTTGGACTTCTTCATCCCACGTTCTTCGGCGCCGCTCGCCCTTGAGCGTCTGTTCTGGGTTGAGACTCCACAAGAGCAAGAGTCCTCAAAGAGTAACAAAATATGAGGCGGGGGATGAGCTTTCGTGAGTCACTGCTCACTTCGTCAGATACAGTCAGAAAGAGTGACGGGAGAAAGGAAAGCTGTCTCGTTGGGGCGATTGCCGTGTGATGGGGATGCTGGCTGAGAAGTGAGGTCCCACTAGGGAATGCTGCTATGCTCTAGCGGCTGCTTTCACATTCTTATTTCTAGACGCGTTTCGCCCTTTTGAGAGTTGGTGAGGTTAAAGGTAAACAGTTGTGCCGCAGGTAGTAAAATTGAGTCCTAAATGGGGTTTGAGTCAGTCTGTAGGGCTGGGTTGGGTGCTTCTCATGATAAAATGGATTCGATTGGCAGTATTGGTCGGTGGAAAGAGCAGAGGTGGTTAACTGTTGGATCTCAAATTGCAGATGGTTTGCTTCTGACTGATGTGGAGAAGACAGGGTCATGACCATAGCTTGTCAGCCAGCTGATCTTAAGATTGTGGTCTACTGATGAGAGTGGAGGAGGGCTGGTACAAAGATATTGAAAAGAAGCTGGCTGTGGGATGTAACATGCAGTTGGAAGGGGCTTGTGTTTGTAAGCAGCTTGTGAAATTGGGAGGATTACTCAGTATCCTGAAATGCATCCTCAACAACCTTTGTTGCATACCATTTGATGATGCTACAGGATCTGCTGTCTTACTCATAGGCTAACAAGGAACGTGGAGTGCTAAAATTTATCTGGTTTACATTGCGGTCTGCAGATCAGTATCTGTTTGGTGCTTCCTTTTTGTGAATTAATCTTTAAAGTAAAGTTATCTGTCACATCTGTCTGTAAAACATATCCAGTTTGGCTGGTCAAAGTCCCTGAGTAAAAGTATTTCAAAGGGTACTAAAAATGACTTTGGCTTTGAAATTGATGAATTCAGGTAACTTGGGACCTCACGGGCTGTTACTACCAAGTGCTATGTAAGGGTGTGGTGTGTATGGCTTATGGGACAAGTAATCTCCTATCTGTAAGGAGTCTGTGTTTCATTTCAGTGAAGAAAAGATTTAGCTGTGTAAAAAAAAAATACTGCTCTATTGATGTATGTGGGCCTTTGGGCTTGCTTAGGGAGAGTAAAATGAACCTAGATTCGAGTCCAGTAGTACCTGGAGACCAACAAGATCTTTCCAGAGTCAAGGCTCCCTTCTTCCAACATGAGTTGGAACTCTTATCTGACAAAAAATCTTCTTGGTCTCTAAGGTGTTACTGGACTTGAATTAAGTTGTTCTGCTGTAGATGAACATGGCTACACTTGGAAGCTAAAAGTGGTTAAGAGCAGCGGACTCTAACCTGGACACCTGGGTTTGATTCCCCACTCCTCCACATGAAGCCAGCTGGGTGACCTTGGGTCAGTCACAGTTCTCTCAGAGCTCTCTGAGTCCCACCTACTTCACAGGGTGTCTTTTGGTTGGAGAGGAAGGGAAGGTGATTGTAAGCTGCTTTGAGACTCCTTTGGGTAGAAAACAATGTAGTATAAAAACCAACTCTTCTTCTTCAAAAATGAACCTGGTTCTCTTTCCAAAAGGAACAGAATCCTAATTTTCACATGCAGCAGGAACAGTAGTGCCAAGCCAGAGGCTTAAATTTGTATGCCTTAATACCTCAAGCCTAGAAGAGCGGCAAGGCTTCTTGTATGGCAGATGAAAAAGCCAGGTTGTGCATTGCAGGGACTTCACATGTAAATACAACAGTAGTTTACTAATATGTAATATCCCTCCTTTTCCTGCCCCAGATGATATATATAAACAAAATTTAGCGAGCGACTGGATTGGAAGCATCATGCACACAGCAGAGGGCAGTACTGCATATACACTAACACATTCATGCACCTCCCCTGTGTGATGTTCTTCTCCCCCCACCACCACTTGTAGGAAAGAAACTGTCAGGTTTTTGGCTTTGGAATCCAGAAGTGTTGTGTATGTCCCTCCTGACTGAGGAATAGCTCTGAAGGTATGAAATGCTGGCCTGACTCAGCTTCAAGGGTGCTCATTGTCTGCAGTTGCATTGGCTCACAAGCTGTAAACAAAGGTGTTTGTTCTGTGCATGTAACACATCTGTGGTTTATGTCCTGTGACAATTGTGGATGAAGAACTCAATTGGGAGGGGTTCTAATGTCAGGAAGGGAAACTGGGTAGGAGCAGAGGAAATGTAAGGGCCTCTTCCTTTGCAGCTGTGTTTTATATTGTGGCTGTACATGTAGAGTGTTGGTTTTTTTAAAAAAAAGAAAGAAAGAGCTAATTCCACCAGCATAAACAAGAACAGTAAAGCTATTGATATATATATATATATGACTACATGGGAGGGAGGGACTTTGTGAATGAAAGAGCTGTTCTGTGCTTACCTAAAAGCTATATCATGTGTACTTCCCCACCCCCCTTTTTTTAAAGGTGAGAGCAGAGTGATTCCTGAAATGTCAGTGGAAGAATTTTTCAGTCTAGAACGGGATATGCTCACAGCGTAAGCCTCTCTGGGGACTTCTGTTGCTTTAAATAAAAACCTTCATTGCCACATGATGCAAGGTGAGAGATTTCCTTTCTGAGAAAGAGGTTGGCTCTGCTCACAGCTCTCGGGAAGCCAGACTGTCTTGCAAAGAGTGTGATGGGCAGCTGGAGAAGGTGAGAAGACCTGCTACAAGCTGCTAACCAAGCCCCTCTGAATTTCCTGGAATCCTATGAAAGTAGAGCTTTCCTTCCGGAGGAAAGGACTGATGACTCAAAAAGTTCTATTTTTCAAGTCCTACAAAGTGGATAAAACAGCAACTGGCTAGGAAACTAAATTCAGAAGCTTTATCATTTTTTTTTTAAAAAAGCTAGGATCCAAATTTGCTTCAGATTGTTTTTAAAGTTTCTAATTTACAGTGTGCCTTTCTGGGAAAAAATCTCTCTTCCATCATCTCTAAAGAACTATTGAACTATTTATTCCTTGCAGTTGCTGTTAAAAAAAGAAACATAACCAAACTAATCTGGACCTGAAACTAAGAGGATACAGGTCTGGGAAGATGATCCAGGAATTTATGAACCAAAGAAGTAAATAATCTGACCAATTTGTGGATTGTGTCTGAAGGATCCTTGCCTAAGGGAGAACTGCAGGCAAGGCAAACCAGAGTGGGTCTGATCTTGTTGGAATCCGCTGCAGTTTCTCTGCTGGCTCTGTGGCTGGCATCTCCAGTTCTGGATTCTGCTTGATGGGGGTTTTTGCTAGGGAAGCAGACCTTGCAGCTAAAGACAGAACTGTGAGTTTAGGGGGGTGGGTATCTATATGCCAAAGGGCATATTGGCTGAACCCCCAAACAAACAAAAAACTTCTTTAGCAATTGTCTTCTGTAGTACATCAGCGGTTTGGGGAAGCCTTTGTAATCTTGCAACATGACATCCACGCAGGAACAAAAAGAAGCTCATCACACCAATGGAGTGGTGCTACCCATTGTTTCAGGGTCTATAGACTGTCTCTCCAGCCCTGATAGAGAGCATCTAGTTGAATCTTCGGAGTTTTTGGGACCTGAAGTAGTCGGAGTGGAGGTGGTGGTGATAGAATCTCGAGCCAATGCCAGAGGTGTACACGAGGAGGATGCCCTGCTGGAGAATGGCAGTCAGACCACTGAGAGTGATGATACCAGCACAGACCGGGGCCCAGAGCCACGCTCTCCTCTCAAAGAGACCGCCTTTTCAATTGGGCTGCAAGTTCTCTTTCCTTTCCTGCTGGCAGGGTTTGGGACGGTAGCTGCTGGGATGGTGTTGGACATGGTACAGGTAAGACTGTGGCATGGGCTTGTCATATACTGTTTCTAGACTTTTAAATTTGTACCATTTGCTGTTGGTGGCTTTAAATTCTACAAAAGCTTGCTGCCCCCAGGCCTGGTTGAAGGGGGACTTAGTCTGGGATGAGCATAAGTGAGTCATTGGCTTATATGTCCAATTGTTTGAGGTTCCCCTCCCCAGC